AGATCGGAGATATGATTTAGTCTATTGTTTCATGTCATAAATATTTGGGTCGAGCTTTATTATCAACGATGACTACCTTCATCTACCTGAGTTACGGCTCTTGTTCGTCTTGGACATTTTAAAGTAGGAACACATCACCTTCAGTAATAGTAAAGTCATATTTTCTGAGACACACCTTGTTAATTATCATTCACCTGGTAATTAATCTCCCATCCAAGCCAAACCTAACTTAACATACCGGTAAGTGTACTAAACGTAACCAATGTATAACTTTTCATAACTTAAATTAATCTAACTTAACGTAAGAGAAACCCTATTTTAACTTGACCTAACCTAACCTAATCTGACTAAATCCAAGTCAGGTTCGATATTTTTTAAGCCCCGTCTTTCTTCACCAAGTTAGGCCAAAACACAAGGTATTATACGTTATACTTATACACCCCCTCCTCCTTTCATCATATTAAGCGTATATCATATCATACTTTGCACACACACACACACACACACACACACACACACACACACACACACACACACACACACACACACACACACATCATCCATTCACCTTCATCATCCTCACTACGTCGCCTCGTGCACGTATTACCTAACAAAACTTAACCCTTGTATCATATTAACTTCATCATACATTATACTTTATACATATATACTTAGTCTGTTTAAATACATAATACTTTAATTTATTCATCTTCGCTACTTTCACTTCTTCATCATAGCATACACTTTACTAGATTACTTTTAAGTATAGTTATCAGACTTAAGTGAACAGGTTATCGTATTCAAAGAGTTAAGACATCGTACTTAAGGGCTTATATTAACTCCACAGCGACTCCTACGTAAACACTCATACATCGACTCCTACGTAAACACTCATACATCGACTCCTACGTAAACACTCATACATCGACTCCTACGTAAACACTCATACATCGACTCTACGTAAACACTCATACATCGACTCCTACGTAAACACTCATACATCGACTCCTACGTAAACATTCATACATCGACTCCTACGTAAACACTCATACATCGACTCCTACGTAAACACTCATACATCGACTCCTACGTAAACACTCATACATCGACTCCTACGTAAACACTCATACATCGACTCCTACGTAAACACTCATACATCGACTCCCACATAAACACTCATACATCGACTCCTACGTAAACACTCATACATCGACTCTACGTACTCATACTCGACGTACATCGACACTCATACATCGACTCCTACGTAAACACTCATACATCGACTCCTACGTAAACACTCATACATCGACTCCTACGTAAACACTCATACATCGACTCCTACGTAAACACTCATACATCGACTCCTACGTAAACACTCATACATCAACTCCTACGTCACACACAATACACTCCGTTCATCAGCTCGCCTCATACTTTCCATACACTTCTTCGCGTTAAGAGCGTTAGGGCTAGTTTTCCGCCCCCGGTCGTAGCCTAATTTAATAGCAACGTCGCGTATCTTGATCAGCATACAAACGGGGCATTAGTGGGCTAAGTGAGCAGTCGCCCCTCCGCCTCTTTACGATCCCCCTTGCTTAGTAGGGAAAAGAGGATAACCATCTGTTAAACTTGACCTCCTTCATCTGTCTGTCTGTCTGACTGGGTTTGTGGCGGAGTGTGTGTGTGTGTGTGTGTGTGTGTGTGTGTGTGTGTGTGTGTGTGTGTGTGTGTGTGTGTGTGTGTGTGTGTGTGTGTGTGTGTGTGTGTGTGTGTGTGTGTGTGTGCCTTTCTTCCTTTTATAACATCACCTTCATTGTTACTTGGCGATTCAGGTAAAAAAACAAAACAGTATCTAGTTATCAACACTGAAATTCACCTTGACCCAATGAACTTAACATTAAAGGGCCATACTGTGCATACGGTCATGTAACCTTCGACTCTACAAAACTGACTGAGGTGTAAAAAGTTTTAACCCAAAAGATCCGGCAACTTCAATCTTGTTTTAGTTTCAGTCGTCCATAAGTTTTACACATGCAATCCTCTGGGGTTCAGAAGTCAAAGGTGGGGGTCACTGTGTCCTGCCTTGTTTGTTGACGGTATGAAAAATATAAGGTTGAATATCGCATCTGAACTTGACTTAGAGATAGTGTTATACCCTCTTCTTTCACGTGCACCAGCCACGGGGGCAAAGAGTTCAGAGGTCAAGGCCACTAAGGATAAAGGGTCAGGGGTCAGAGTTTCGGGTATAAAAGATCAAAGGTCAAAATTTATGGTGATAAAACGTCGAAGTTGCAAAGTTGTATTTTCCGGGGTGCAAATGGCCAAAGTGATGATACCATAAAATAGCTTGTGGTAACTGTCGAGGTTAAAACACATTAAACAAACGCCACTAGAGACATAGACTGCCACGCTAAATGTTATTACTGTTAAATGTCGAAGATCAGGATCACAGAGAAACACTTTAACTTTTTGAGGCTAGAAATTAAACAGTAATAAACAACAATAAAACAAAAAAACTATTAATTAACATACTTGCAAGACTGGAGTTAAAATGTCAAAGGTTATTGTTCAAAGGCGAAATTAAGCAAAGTCATTAGAACTTAGTATGTAAAGTCATTAGTTTATGAGTCAAGGTCATAAAAGGTCAAAGGTTAAGGTCACAGGAGTTTAATATATCATATGGTATCTATTAATAATGAAAGAGGAACTCCACAGGGAAAAAGACACCTGTATGTTTCCACCTTGATATTGGTAACACATTTTCACGCTAAGAAGAAAGTACATAACAGAGAACCATATTTTATCTGCCCTCACTGATTCATCCTTTATTTTTGTTCATGAATTTAAACTATATAATTTGTTTTGTGTTAGATATTTGTGATACATTTAGCTAAATTAATAAAAGTATTTTAAGTAATGACTGCAGGATGTGGCTCTGGCTGCAGGTATGATCAATCTCTTTTGAGTCACGTGGAAAGCACGACTAAGGTTATAACAATAATAAACGTATACATTATTATAATTAAGTTGTAAGCTATTATATAATGCCTGCAAAGTATACGTTGTATAAAATTGTTTTATAAAAATATTGACCAGAAACTACAGTGAAGAAACTTTACCTGGCCTGACTAATACATACATACATACCTGTACATACATGCATACATACATAAACAAGGATACAGTTGGCTCCCTTCCATATAGTCGTCACAGTTAAAGGAAGAAGAAGAAGAAGAAGAAGAAGAAGAAGAAGAAGAAGAAGAAGAAGAAGAAGAAGGAAGAAGAAGAAGAAGAAGAAGAAGAAGAAGAAGAAGAAGAAGAAGAAGAAGAAGAAGAAGAAGAAGAAGAAGAAGAAGAAGAAGAAGAAGAAGAAGAAGAAGAAGAAGAAGAAGAAGAAGAAGAAGAAGAAGAAGAAGAAGAAGAAGAAGAAGAAGAAGAAGAAGAAGAAGAAGAAGAAGAAGAAGAAGAAGAAGAAGAAGAAGAAGAAGAAGAAGAAGAAGAAGAAGAAGAAGAAGAAGAAGAAGAAGAAGAAGAAGAAGAAGAAGAAGAAGAAGAAGAAGAAGAAGAAGAAGAAGAAATAAAGAAGGTAAATAAAGAAGAAGAAGAAGAAGAAGAAGAAGAAGAAGAAGAAGAAGAAGAAGAAGAAGGAAGTTTAAAGAATAGCTGAAGAAGAAGAAGAAGAAGAAGAAGAAGAAGAAGAAGGAAGAAGGAAGAAGAAGAAGAAGAAGAAGAAGAAGAAGAAGAAGAAGAAGAAGAAGAAGAAGAAGAAGAAGAAGAAGAAGAAGAAGAAGAAGAAGAAGAAGAAGAAGAAGAAGAAGAAGAAGAAGAAGAAGAAGAAGAAGAAGAAGAAGAAGAAGAAGAAGAAGAAGAAGAAGAAGAAGAAGAAGAAGAAGAAGAAGAAGAAGAAGAAGAAGAAGAAGAAGAAGAAGAAGAAGAAGAAGAAGAAGAAGAATTTTTGTAGGAACTATTAAAAATTCAATAAAACTAAACCAAGAGAGATAACAAGAGTACACATTTCCCCTGAGACAAGGTCACACAACGAGAAAAAATAAAAAGAAGAATGTTATGACAGATCAAAGGCTGCAGGTGTGTGTGTGACGCAACATACGCCTGACATACACCTGTATTTACCTCATATAAATTTATTTTCTGTCTCTTCATTCTCACGACCTTTGACAAGAGAAGCCATGGTTTACTGTCCGAGGAGGAGGTGGGGAAGGTGAGGGGAAGGGGCTCACGTGTACTACAGAATTAAACAGATATAATACCCCTCGGAGGAAGAAACAGAAGAAGATAAATTATAAAAAAAAGAAAGACAAAGAGAAACGAAAAAGAAAAAGCAGTATCGTCGCTGGTCAGTGTACGTGTAACAAGGCAGTATAATTAACCGAGCAATTTTCTAAGTAAATACCGAGGTTATCATTCTCAATTGCCTGGGTAATGGAAGTTCAGGCTGCGTCGGTCTTTGAGGGTATGAGACTGTACACACGAGGAGGTAGAGTAAAGCACCGGTGTACCTATTGATTACACAGGGAATAAAGGCAAGAAATCGTTTTATATATAGTGAATAGGCCTATGTATTGACCTGAAAGATGATTATATATTCAACGTATATCAAAAAGCTCGTTATTATATGCCCTTACCGAAGTAGTTAGAGGCGCAGGTAAGTAGTTAAAACTAAGGATACATTACAATATATAAATTTAAGTGGTGCATTGAAAAAGTCTCGGTAACCACAGCCCGGATTTCACTTGTTATACTAAGTGGAATGTGGGTTGTAAGGACCGTAGACGTTATCACCGCATCAATAAACTCTACGGCCATCAACACCCACATTTCACTTACTATTGTGGCGAACGTAGAAAATAGCTATTTCATCTACACACACACACGCGCACACACACACACACACACACACACACACACACACACACACACACACACACACACACACACACACTTAAGAAAACTTAACCAACCTTTCTCTTTTATCTTTCCAGGACCACTGGTGTCGGTGACCGTAGCTCGGGGAGACACAGCCAGACTCCCTTGCAGGTACCCGCGGCACCCTGACGATAATGTGAGCCTTGTGTTGTGGTACGTTAACCACACCACCCGCCCCTTCCTCAGGTGAGTGACGTCTCCCATAGTACCTCAACCATATATCCCGTCCCTAACTCAGGCCAATATTTTGCACCTCTGGTCTTAGTGAGTCACGTCTCAGTTCATAGATATATCAGTGGAGTGAGTGACTTGTCAGGGGTTGTGAGGTGTTGCTCCCCTTAGTGAAAAACGATGACAGAGTGCGGAGATTCAAAGAGATCACGAGAAATAGAGCAAGGAAATGGGAACATAGAGAGAGAGAGAGAGAGAGAGAGAGAGAGAGAGAGAGAGAGAGAGAGAGAGAGAGAGAGAGAGAGAGAGAGAGAGAGAGAGAGGAAATGGAAACCACTAAATCCAGATATTAAAGGATTACACCATGGCAGGCACCGACTGTGGGCTAAAATGTACCATTAAGCTTAAGGTACAGCTTAGATTTCTTCTTCCCTTGGCGTAAATGAAACGTTTAAGCTGGGCTGTTAAGTGAACGCCTTAGCTGGCAGCCTCATCAATAAAGATAAATGAATCCTTTCTCAAACAAATAGCCAGACAGGTAAACTTTCGTCGTACAGGGTAACAAAGTTAATTAATTTACGATACAGTTTTAATGGGTGACTGTGCGTCTTATTTCCCTTAATTCTTTTCACGGGGAGGGGGGTGCAAGGAGGGGGTAAGAGGGGAGTGATGGGAGGAGAGAAGATGGGAGGAGGGGAGGAGAAAGGAAGATGAGTAGCTTTAAGAGGAGTAAGGAAGGTAATGACGAGAGTGAGAGGGGAAGTGGTAGGAGGAGAAAGAGAGAGGGAGAGTAGCAGTAGTATTAATGAGCTTAGAGGGTGAGAGATAATGGTGGTGAGTGAGAGAGAGTAAGAGAAAGGAAGTATCGAGAGAAAGAAGTTAAGAAAGGGCGGAAAGGGGGAAGAAAGGGCGGAAGGAAGGAAGGAAGGAAGGAAGGAAGGAAGGAAGGAAGGAGGGAAGGAAGGAAGGAAGGAAGGAAGGAAGGAAGGAAGGAAGGAAGGAAGGAAGGAAGGAAGGAAGGAAGAAGGAAGGAAGGAAGGAAGGAAGGAAGGAAGGAAGGAAGGGTAACAAGCAAGAAAGGAAGGAAGGGAGAAAATTGTGATGAAACCAAATGAGCAACGGAAAGAAGGAAACAGACATACGTAATGGGAATAAAGGAAGGAGGAAGTAGAAGAAGTAGTAGTAATAGTAGTGAAGGACAACAGGTAGAGAAAGACGTGGATGACAGGAGACAGGAGGGGAGGCAGGTAATTAGTCTTAAGAGATGAGGGTCAATTATCGAACGTAATTGACCAAAGCCATTTACTACTTTTATTACATAGAACAATTACTGGGGGTTCTCACGGGACTAACCTTACGAGGAATGAGCAACAGGATGAGACGCTTTTGTGCCATAATGAAGAGGTAATGTGATGATGTTATAAGTGATCCTAATTTTCAAGGACGCAGAAGGGTGGAGAGCCAGTGAAGAAAATCTACCCACATAATAAAGGAAACAAAGAGAGAGAGAGAGAGAGAGAGAGAGAGAGAGAGAGAGAGAGAGAGAGAGAGAGAGAGAGAGAGAGAGAGATAAGAAATAAGAATTAAAATGTGAAAAAATACAAATCACTCAACTTATTCTCCAATACAGTTCATATTTACCATTTTTTTCTCTGTATTTTACTGGTGATAACTTTTATTTTATTTTTTTTTCAGTATAAATAACTTACTACAAAAACTTTTAATTTCCTACAAACAAAAGACATAAGATCTGTTGTTTTTGTGTTATGGCTCCTAAAGTGAGTTTCTATTGTGTGAAGCAACAATTCTTTTAACAAGTGGACAAAAAAAAAGATAAACACATGCTAGGTATTAAGGGTAAAGCAGCTCCAGCAGTAATAAAAGTCAGGGGTCATTCATTTTAAAAGTGATATTTTTACCTCCGCGCCGTGCCTGACTCTACAGCTCTCTCTCTCTCTCTCTCTTTCTCCATGGCACATAATCATACACATATAAACACAAACAGACACACACACATGCCTACAGACACACACATGCCTACACACACACACACACACACACACACACACACACACACACACACACACACAATTATTCAGAAACAAAGTTTATAAACGCTATAATTTTAAACTAAAAAACGGGGTATTTTCAAGGTAGTGATTGACATTTCAATTATTCTGAAGAAACCACTCCACATTGTGTCGGAAATTGGATGTCAGGTTATAAAAGGTCGTGGATGAATTTATTTAAATTAGACACATCCTCATCGCCTTTGTATTTGTTATTACAACTTTTACATAAATATATTATACACTGTTGCTCAGACACATAGCATCTTATCAATGTAAACGTCTGTGTGTGTGTGGGTGTGTGTCTGTGTGTGTGTGTGTGTGTGTGTGTGTGTGTGTGTGTGTGTCCAGATTTCTCTACACCAATGTTGATTTCGTCACTGGATGGTAATTGAACAAGTACAATTTGCCTTGCAACTAAATTAGTATTAGTTTGACCTTCTATTGACTTTGACGCACATTAATACACCCTTCAATGTGATTAATATATACTTATTTCAGGAAGGTTGCTGTAGGTTAGGTTAGGTTAGGTTAGGTTACTACAGGTCAGCATTGATTATTATAGGTTTGGTTCGTTTAATTAAGTCATATGTGGAGGGTGAGTCATCATGTATATGTATAACTAATAACATAACATTCTGATACATTAAACTGTTTCGTACATGCAGTCACCTGGTCTCAAACCTCTAACAACAGATGGGTCAAGACAAGAGTACTCTTACATCATTGTTGACACTACACATGTACTCATACCTGGACCTATACTTATACCTGTACACAGAGAGAGAGAGAGAGAGAGAGAGAGAGAGAGAGAGAGAGAGAGAGAGAGAGAGAGAGAGAGAGAGAGAGAGAGAGAGAGAGAGAGAGAGAGAGAGAGAGAGAGAGAGAGAGAGAGAGAGAGAGAGAGTAATTATACAGATATACAGATATATTAAGTAAAACAAAAAAGAAGTAATAATATGAGGAGAAAGAGGACGGGTGGAGGAGGCAGGCTTAAATAAGCTTAAGAATGGCAAAGCGCCAAGGGAGAATGGGATCACGGCAAAATATATTAAGGAAGGTGGGAGGAAGGTGTGTGTGTGTGTGTGTGTGTATTATTTACGAGGGAGAAAAGTACCAGATGAGTACCAAAGAGCGTGCTTACTTTCCCCATAAATGAGAAATGTATTACGAATGAATACCCCCCCCCCCAACAAAAAAATAAAGATAATTTTCTGTTAGTAAAACCACTGAATGTAAAAAGTACTAATTAATGGGAGAATTGTGGTAAGAAAGGATAGTGTGGTTTAAGAAAAATAAGAGAGTGTGTAGAAGAAGTGTCTGCCTTATAAACCATGAGCGAAAAGTGTCTGATAAAGCGTATGTATTTATCTCAACCGCTGAATAAAATAGAAAAGAAAAATATGATAGAGAAGAATTTATGTGAGTTATTAAATATATATGTCACTCATAGCTTCTACAGGTTGAGTGAAATGACTTAAGAGTGAAATTAAGATTGTCAATGTCAAGGTAGTGTAGTTAGTGTCGTGTTGAGTCAGTGTCGTGTAGAGTTAGTGTCGTGTAGAGTCAGTGTCGTGTTGAGTCAGTGCTGTGTAGAGTCAGTGTCGTGTTGAGTCAGTGTAGTGGTAGAGTCAGTGTCGTGTTGAGTCAGTGTCGTGTTGAGTCAGTGTAGTGGTAGAGTCAGTGTCGTGTTGAGTCAGTGTAGTGGTAGAGTCAGTGTCCTCTAGAGTTAGTGTCGTGTAGAGTCAATGTCGTGTAGAGTTAGTGTCGTGTAGAGTCAGTGTCGTGTAGAGTCAATGTCGTGTAGAGTTAGTGTCGTAGTCAGTGTCGTGTAGAGTCAGTGTCGTGTTGAGTCAGTGCTGTGTAGAGTCAGTGTCGTGTTGAGTCAGTGTAGTGGTAGAGTCAGTGTCCTGTAGAGTTAGTGTCGTGTAGAGTCAGTGTCGTGTAGAGTGTAAAGTTAGTGTCGTGTAGAGTGTGTGTAGAGTCAGTGTCGTGTAGAGTCAGTGTGGTGTAGAGTTAGTGTCGTGTAGGGTCAGTGTCGTGTACAGTTAGTGTCGTGTAGAGTCAGTGTCGTGTAGAGTTAGTGTCGTAGAGTCAGTGTAGTCAGTGTGTAGAGTTAGTGTCGTGTAGAGACAGTGTCGTGTAGAATTAGTGTCGTGTAGAGTCAGTGACGTGTAGAGTCAGAGTCGTGTAGAGTCAGAGTCGCGTAGAGTCAGTGTCGTAGAGTCAGTGTGTGGAGTTAGTGTCGTGTAGAGTCAGTGTCGTGTAGAGTTAGTGTCGTGTAGAGTCAATGTCGTAGTTAGTGTCGTGTAGAGTCAGTGTCGTAGAGTCAATGTCGTGTAGAGTTAGTGTCGTGCAGAGTCAGTGTCGTGTAGAGTTAGTGTCGTGTAGAGTCAGTGTCGTGTTGAGTCAGTGCTGTGTGTGAGTCCAGAGTCAGTGTCGTAGAGTCAGTGTCTGTAGAGTCAGTGTCGTGTAGAGTCAGTGTTTAGAGTCAGTGTCGTAGAGTCAGTGTCGTAGAGTCAGTGTCAGTGAGTGTCGTGAGTCAGTGTCGTAGAGTCAGTAGAGTCAGTGTCGTAGAGTCAGTGTCGTTCAACCAGTGTCGTGTAGAGTCAGTGTAGTTTAGAGTCAGTGTCGTGTAGAGTCAGTGTCGTAGAGTCAGTGTCGTGGAGTCAGTGTTGTGTAGAGTCAGTGTCGTGTAGAGTTAGTGTCGTGTCGAGTCAGTGTCATGTAGAGTCAGTGTCGTAGAGTCAGTGTCGCGTTCAGCCAGTGTCGTGTAGAGTCAGTGTCGTGTAGAGTCAGTGTAGTCAGTGTCGTATAGAGTCCGTGTCGTGTAGAGTCAGTGTCGCGTAAGTCAGTGTCGTGCAGTCAGTGTCGTGTAGAGTCAGTGTCGCGTAGAGTCAATGTCGCATAGAGTTAGTGTCGTGAGCCAGTGTCGTAGTCAGTGTC